TGTGTGTATGAGTGAGTGTGTGTGTATGAGTGTGTGTGTGTGTGTGTGTGTGAGTGCGTGTGCGTGTGTGTGCGAGTGTGTGTGTGTGTATGTGTATGTGTCTGTGTCAGACTGTCCCACCTGCAGCCAGAGTTTGTTGTTGACAGCATCACGGATAGTGGCGATGCACTGGAACGTGGCGTTCTGTCCAGCATTCACCTCCACATTCCCCAAACGCAGGAAGTGAGGCGATTTATCTGCATTCGAAGGAAAAGACAACAACACATGACATCATAGCTCTGATATATCATTACACTAAAGCTTCCAGAGTTAACCAGAGCTGAACTCCCAGAACAGGCGCATTAATGCAGGAAGAATAAATCAAGATTTCACTCAATTATATAGTAAACACACTGAAACACAGCGTTGAGCAGACAGTCACACTTTAGTTTGGGGACAAGTTCACACTATTAACTAAGACTTTTGCCTCAATAAACTCCTAATTTGCTGCTTATTAATAGTTAGATAGATGTTAAGTTTAGGTATGGGGTGGATTAAGGGATCTAAAATATGCTCATGTTTTATAAGTACTAATAAACAGCCCATAGGCTAGTAATACGCATTCTAATAAGCAACTAGTTAATAGTGAGAATTGGTGCCTAAACTAAAGTGCTACTGGTAAAATTGATGGTTTATTTTTGAGTGCTATGGCAGGGTGGTTGAAGATTATCGAGGACGACCCCTGAATTATCACCATTGTACCCTTGATCAACAGCAGAAATCATGTGTAAGACACACTGGACAGAAAACTAAAAGTTGAGTGGCTATTCACATTATCTGCAGTAGTACAAAGTTTGTCACGGGAAGGGAACAGACTGAAACAGTGAGCACCTACAAGTTCAGCGGCATCAGCTATTTTTATTTTCTGATTGCAGATAATTCTCTAATAAAGAGTTGTGATCCATAAACCAAACCAATCGCAACATCTCCCCCCCATCTGGCTCTGAAAGTAAAACTGCATGTAGATTGTTCCTCTCTGTCAGTGTTTCATTGGCTCTCTCTCTCAAGTTTAATTAGACTGAGTGTTCATTTGGCAGATCGGTGGTTAGAAACATACAGTGGACAAGGTGATTTACTAAGGTTTGTGCCATTTAGTGGTCGACCGATATTGTTTTTTTTTGATAGCCGATGCCGATATCTTGGAAAGCAGGGTGGCCGATGGCCGATATAATTTTATTTATTTTAATTAATGTTTAAGAAATTTGAAATAATTTGAAAATGGATTAAAAAGTAAATGTGTTAAATAAACATACTTATACTTTAGATGACAAAGTATTTTTCACAAATAAATAAATATTAATAAAAATATAATAATTTGTTTCAATTATATAAATTCGTATTTGCTGAATGCTGACGGCAAACAAGAAAGTATTATAATGTTTGCCTTTCTATTACTAATAATATAAAAGCAATCGTTATAATACTTTTTGTATACATTTTAATTCCTTTGTTTAACCGTTTTATCTGATTATTAGACAGACCTCTATCCGTATTAGACAGAAATGTTAACGACAACGGCGACCAAGAGGGAGAATGTGCGCTGTCAGCACCTCAAAATAAAAGTCCATTGCGCCGTCAAAATAAAAGTCCCACCTCGAACGCATTGGCCAAACAGGAAAACTTATCGGCCGGTGCCGATATTTAAAAAATGCCAAATATCGGCCGATATATCGGCCTTGGCGATATATCGGTCGACCACTAGTGCCATTATTTAACATCCAGAAAACGCATGTCTTAACTCATTGCTCTTGGTAGATTGCATCGGTCACTAATGGAAATGATCTGTCTCTGTGTTGTTTCATTTGTTCGCTGTCAGTAAACCAGCTGCAGAACTTTCTATCCCTCTTCCTGGGATTTAGTAAATCTGGCCCTAAATCAGTTCTTTTTCCCTGCGAATCACACCCATAACTGTTTGAGCTACAGGAAGGCAGCTAGAAGGCTTTCTCCAAACCGCTGGTCCTATGTAGGCGTTTTCCTATGAATGGCCAGTATCTACAGTATATACTAGTGCACTTGCTAAAAGTTGACCAAATTTACTAAGGATCATAAAAAAGGGTGGATATTGGTCATAAAATACTAAAGTATGACTGTTTTTGGTGCCAAAAACAAATGTATGAAAAATAAATTGTATGAAAAATCTGATTATTCAACATATATACACATAAATGATCTAAGTACTAAACAAATGTTATGTATTTCATTGCTTCTGTAATGAAACTGATCCTTCTCTGCATTTCTCCTGCAGACAGCTTGCTTCCTAATCTTGTTGTCTAATAAACCTAGCATTGTGCATTGCGACTGTTGACAAATTGCTTTTTCCCTCTTCTGTAAGTTGCTTTGGGTAAAAGCATCTGCTAAATATGTAAACGAAAAAAAACAAATGAAATATAGCTCTGTCCAAGGGGCTCAGAGGAAAACGAACATGTGTTTTAACGTGTGCGTGAGCAGACGATCTTCACAAGTCCAGCAGAAGCAGGTGTCAGTCTGCACAGTGCTTCACATCATACAGGAACACATCACTAGTGTTTCTGATGGGCTGCCCTCAAAATAAACGCTCTTTTACTGCAGGAAACACTCTCCAGCACAGCGACACAACAGAGCTCCTTCATCTCCCTCTCTTCCTGCATCATCGTAATGAGATGTCATCCGTGATCAGCCGGAAGCTTTATTAGCAGCGTTCGGAGGGGATATAATCCACGTTGCGAGCGTCAGTAATCCCTGCGCTTCCGTGGACTAGCTGTTAATTGGGAATACCTGCTACATGATCAGGGCTCAGCTCTGATTCCAGCCAGCAGACAAGACTAACAATCCACCTGGAGAGACGCTCCGCTGGATGACAAAATATTAATCACTTAAAATTATATGTGCATTGCTGACATTTGAAGTGTAAGTGCGTGCGCGTCTGCTGATTGTGCCATCACTCGACCCCTAAACGCTTCGTGCTAAGTGCAGTACTCGGCGTGTAATAAGGGCTAATGATATATCAGACATGGTGCAGAGAGGAAGGCAGCTCTCCATGTCACTTACAGTATTTACTGTTTGTGCTAATATTGCCCTCTCTGATCATTTATTGATCGCGCTGCTCTCCACTGCTGATGTGCTCAGAAAAACACTCACCGCTGCAGTCAATACTGCTCATTCCCTGAATATATTTCAATTCATAGCCCGATTCAATGTGAAATGGCATCTGTAGTGCATATGGTTTAAAACAGTTGTAATATTGGCCCAGCCACAATTTTATTTTATACACACATTACTTTTTATTAACTTTGGGGTCTGTGTGATTTTTTTTTATTGTTTTAGGCAACATCTACTTGATAAAAATACAGAAAAAAAGTCATATGGCAAAACATTTGGTAGCACTTTAGTATAGGGACTAATTCTCACTTTTAATTAGTTGCTTATTAGCATGCCTATTATTATCATCAGAGTTGTTTATTAGTATTTATAAAGCACATATTCTGCATGAGCATGTTCTACATCCCTAATCATACCCAATGCCTAAACTTAACAACTACCTTGCTAACTATTAAGCTAAGCAGCTAATTAGGAGTTTATTGAGGCAAAAGTCATTTTTTAATAGCGAGAATAGGACCTTAAAATAAAGTGTGACCAAACATTTTTTTCAATTTAAAATAGCTGTTTTCTGTGTGAATCTATGTTAAACTGTAATTTATTTCTGTGATGCGCAGCTGTATTTTCAGCATCATTACTCCAGTCTTCAGTGTCACATGATCTTCAGAAATCATTCTAATATGCTGATTTGCTGCTCAAGAAACATTTCTGATTATTAACAATGTTGAAAACAGTTGCGCTGCCCAATATTTTGTATGGAAACGGTGATGCATTTTATTTTTCAGAATTCTTTGATGAATAGAAAGTTCAAAAGAATAGCATTTATTTGAAATAAAAATCTTTTGTAACATTATAAATGCCTTTACTGTACAACTTTCGATCAATTTAATGCATCCTTGATGAATATATTGATCCATTTGTCCCGGTTTCATAAGGACATTAGGAAATTATAGCTGCTTTAAATAACAGGGACAGTCCTGCTGCTGAGTAACCTGAGGTTAAGTCTCTTACACAAGGACACAATGATGATAGTCTGTGGTTTAACCTTTTTAGCAGTCTAGACTTTTAACTACTAGATCACACCATCCCAAACAATAACACACACAGACACACACACGCACACACACACACACACACACACACACAGACACACACACACACACACACACACAGTGACTCACCGCATGGGTAACTGAGCACCTGGATGTCATCAATGGCAATGAAACCTCTTCTGCCATTTGTCACTTCTGCCTCGAATATGACCTGCACAGAGAAACAGGAAACAGGATGTGTGTTTTAGATAAGCTGTCACTCACTCACACGCTCAATCAAATAAATAAATAAATGAATGAATAAATGAGTTTAAGTGTAACCATGAGTTTCTGCATGAATGTCATTCATTTCTATTAAAGAACATCTCTATTATTACACCTTGTAAAAAAGAAGAGTGCATCATTATATTGAATGTTTTTTTAACTACTTGATAATATAATGTTAATTAAATAAAAGTCCACTTAAGTGTACTTAAACTTACCTTTCATGACTGCTTCTTAACAGTGCACTTTGTATTAATGTACTTTAAAGTACATTTTAAATCATGTTTTAATGATATTTTGTTTTGCACATATTTTGATGTGTTGACTAACATACTAAAGCACATCTTTGTATCATTTTAACTGTAGTGTGTTATTTGATACAAAAAATGACTTACACGTTTCAGTGGAAATTACATTAAAATATATATTAGTTTACCAGTTTAGACTCAAAGTTTAGACTTTTAGTTTTAGTTCATTCAGTAGTAACACTTTAACCATCTTTCATAGACAACAGAATTATGAAAGTACATATGAAGATGTACTGAAGTCCTATTTTACCCTCATAATTTAATTCGATAAATTCAATAAATATAATTTGCATGTAAAATTTAATTTAGTTACAAATAACATGCAATTAAACATCAGAAAATTGTAAGTATTTTTTTAAGTATATTATTTCCATAATAAGTATGCTAAAGTGCACTTCATTTTCAAACGTGTAACCTGACTCTGTTACACACCTCTGATATTAAACCAGCCATCTGTTAACTGCTCCTGGGCTGTTACAGTGCTATTAAACTACACTGTTCAATGACGCTAACAGTAGTTTTTGTGACGCTCACAATGGTCACGTTCAAACATCAGCCGTGAAACACACGAGTCTTTGTGTCCGAGGCTCTGGTTCGCCTGCGGTCATTACAGCGTCAGAGATCGTCTCCGTTTATATACAACTGAGCGCCAAATCTCATTTTGTTAATCTCGAAAGACAAAACAGATTTTCACAAACAGTTGCTCATTTCTGGGAGAAAAAGCTTTTCAGGCAAACACCCACGCGAGGACAGAAAAGGCGTAATTGAAAATCCTGTGACTGGCGGGGTCAGGTTTCTATTATTGAACTCAAAGCACGACTGAATAGAGTTGAATTCGCTCCGTATTCTGCCTCGAAGTCAAGGTCTGGCTTTTGTACGGTGCTTTCCTTTAATGTCGTGCCCTGGCGTCAAGATGGCAGCGATCAAGCCCGCGAGCGCTAAGCCTGCAATCTGAAAGTGACCCAGTCGTTTCTGGCTTTCAGAAGCCATTTCAATTAGAGCCGGGCCATCTGCAGCCCGTGTGAGGGAATATTGATAGTGCTTTTCTCTTAGTGGAGCTGGCTCCACTTTAAACTGATCTCTCTTAAAACGCCTGTGACATTTCCAAAGCAAATCTCGGGCCCGCTCTTGGTCAGTAATGCTTATGAGCCGATTATGATGTAAATCTTCAAAAGTGTTCTGGCTGAATGCCGTTGTGCAGCCGCAGCTCTCTCTCTCTCTCTCTCTCTCTCTCTCTCTCCTGCTGATCAGGCATCAGTTATGTGGAGTCTTGTTACTGTGTTGCACTAGTGAACAGAGCTCATCTGGGCTTCACCACTAAAGGTTAGAGAGTTTCAAGCCGTTTGATCCTGCCAGTGCTGAGTTGGTACAACAGCTTGTCATTTTTAACCCTAAACCTTTGGTTTTTCATACTTATGTATGACATATCATAAATATATATATATATATATATATATATATATACACACACACATACATACATGACTGCTGCAATGTCAATTATTTATGCCAGGTTTCTATTTGAATTTGAATTAATAGCTTTATAAATTAATAGAGTAATATAATTATTATGCCGGTTTACACTACATCAGTGATATCTGGCCACAATATTACTGTTTTTTCTATATATTTGATCAAATTATTGCAGCCTTGATGAACAGAAGAGACTTCTTTCAAAGCATAAAACAATCTTACTGATCCCACACTTTTGAATGGAAGTATATTATATGCATTTCCATGATATTTTAATATTTGACTAATTTTACAGGCTTAAAAATCCAAATTTTATTCCCCATTCCTTGACATGTCCATGTTTTCCACTGCCGTGGGACCCTGCGGTGTGTGTGTGTGTGTGTGTGTGTGAGTGTGTGTGTGTGTATGTGTGTGTGTGTGTGTTTTGGAGCAGCTATCACAGAAGACGACTCAAAAACCCAACAGTGTCTCAGCTGAGGAAGCGGCTTTGGCAAGAGTGAAAATTGTTGAAATGAAAAGAGGAGAAAAGAACATAGGATGAAAAAATGAGGTGAGAAAAAAAAGAAAGAGACAGAGGGAGATATTCAGGGACTGCGTGACATCCTGCACCCCAGCAATTATCCCATCAGCCCCGGACAAAAGCTCTGAACTGGAGATGTGCACGGCTAGACACTTTCAAAACCGTCAGCGGGCCGCCTGAACCGCCAGTCCACTTAAAACACCCCGAATAATCAGGCTGCTTCTGAATAATGAGGCTGGTCAGAGTCACGCTCAAATTTCCAAATCACTGTACGAAGCAGTCGACTCCACTAATCGACTAGTGGACTTCTGTGACTAGAGCGGCAACTAATGTTTCGTGTTAACAAACTCAGTGCTGTGAATACAGTCCTCTCAACACACTAACATGTTACTCTCATTTATTGTAAATGTAAGAGACTCTTTGCTCAAATATATATATATATCATCTTCCAATAAAAGCAATTGTCTGCACTATTGACTATGAACAAATTGTTTAAAAACAACTGATGATCAGGGCACAGTGTTTCCTTTCAATCAAAAGGCGGCAGAAAAACTTCTTGAAATGCAACTTGTGTGTGAATGTGTAGAAATTAGGGTTGTCCAAGTTAATGTGATAATAACACAATCTAACTTAACGCAATCTAAGTTAATGCAGATTCTATTTGAGCCAATAATCACCGCGATTCAAGTCCACGGTTTGCCCTGCACCAAACATGACATCGCTGTAACCACTTCAGTTCAAGTCTCTTCCACTTTAATACAAGTTACAGCACAAAATAAACATGAATGAACATCAGAAGGTGTTGAAAGATACAGTATAACTTACCAAAATAAATCATGTCTCATGTAATCACTCAATCAGCGCAGATAGACATCAATAAAACAGCTTGTAAACAATATGTCACTTAACAGTGCATTTAGTTGGAAGAGATTTTTTTTTCTTAAGAAAACCGAACTATCGATATCGGTATCGGCAGACAGCATTGTGAATAATAATCTGAGTCAGCTGGGAAATGCATTATAGGTTCATCCCCAACACTTACAGGATTTTACATCCAACAATAAAAAATAAAAAATACTTGTGCATTAAACCTAGTCTGCGACCTCCATGAACACAAACACACATTTGTGTGTTGTTTTGTTTTACACCAATATTTTAGTTTAAAAAGCATTTATTTACATAAAGCAAAAGGTATATTTTATGTCTTGCTAGTCACCATATATAGTTTTTCTTCCACAGTTGTTGTTTACTGGTTCACGTTAACTGCAAATATTCCACATATTCTCTTAATTAATACAAGATCCAAAAACAGCATGATAAAGCACATCACTGCTGTCACTTTTTGACATGTCACGTCAAACACATGGGAACAAGCCGTGGAAGGGTATTGGTTCCGATTTTGTTCCGTCTCCAGCTCAGAGTGCAGCACGGGGAAACGGAAAAGAATTCTGTGTCACCTCACGCCAAACACACACACACACACACACACACACAAACACACACACACACACGTGAACCGCTCACTTACAAATGCAGACTGATGCACACGAGCATTAACAAACAGAATGCACAGATAAGACAGAAAACACAGTGGTGACATATTCAGATCATACCTGCACATGAAACACACAGCAGGAGAAAGCCTGTGCTTTATTTGCTTCCTTTTCTGTCTCAATTTATTTGGAACAAGAATATGTGAAAAATCTGACATTGCCAAAAGTTATTAAAGGGGTCATATGATGCGATTTAAATTTTTCCTTTCTCTTTGGAGTGTTACAAGCTCTTGGTGCATAAAGAAGATCTGTAAAGTTGCAAAGACTAAAGTCTCAAATCCAAAGAGATATTCATTATAAAAGTTAAGAGTCAGCCCTGCCTAATAAATAATGTTCTTTTTAGCAACATCATATGACCCCTTTAATCATATAACCTTAAAGTGATAATGATGATCCATGTACATCGACAGACATGCAGAAACTGATAAATGAAGCTACCAAAAACAGAAGTTAACTCTGTTATGTTTTAATGGTAGTTTTGAGGTAAAATCTGCTGATATTTTATTTAGACTTAAATATAACTTTAATTAAAATAATTTATTCTGGGTTCAGATTCATTTCAAATCTTGAAATACTTTTTTATCTCTTCAAATTTAATATTTATATTTTAAATATGAGATCTTGTAATATGGCAAGTTTATTCTCAACATATATTTTCAGCACTTCTATCTTCCTCCTCAGAAAACACAAGGTCTCATTGAGGCTCTAAAACATTTCTGGAAGGTAATCTTGACTGAGACCTATTTTTGTGTGTGTGTGTGTGTTTGCCCTGTCTCTGAGTTGACGGCAGATCGGTCTGGATGAGGAAGCCTGCAGCTTTGCTGTCAATCAGAACCTCCTCGTAAACACACACACACACACACACACACACACACACACACACAAAAGTGTAAGCAAAGCACTTGCTGTATACTATATAAATCCTGCACATGTATTTAGATTTTGAGTAGCAATGCAGCTCAGAATGCCAGCAGAGGGTTTGTGTTTGTCTAAACATCCATTACTCCCACAATCATCCATCATGTTTCTATTGAACACATAAATGACTCTTCAGAGCATTAAATTATGAAACATTGATTACATCTGAAGCCCT